GCCCCGTCACAAGCCAACGGAGACGATCGTGAAACATATTGCGCAGGTCAATCGTAGACAGTGCGGTCGAGGGAGCAGACAACAACATGCTAGGCAAGGCCAAAATCAAAGCCCAGCACATCTCTCGCTCTTCAGCGGTATAGTCCGAGTGGACGGCAGACCAATACAGCTGGCTCAGGGTGGCAGCCATCAGCTTGGTCTCGGTAAATAAATAAATTAGGTGTTTGAACCTCAGAGCTGAAAGCAAAGCTGTGCAACCCCGACATCAAAATCACTACGTCACGCAAAACAACACAAGAGAACAAGTTACATTCACTGGCTTTTATCATGCCAAGAAGTACAAGCGCGAAGAATCCTGCACATAGAAACAAAAATCGTACAAAACGACCAAGTATAACCAGAGATACGGCCATTTTAAACACAAGACACATAAAAAGGCAGTCACACATCACAACTACAAGCCATCACAGCACAAACACAATGAACACCACGGCACGCTCACATCCAACGAGACACAACGTCGGATTGAGGAAAACAACCGACCACAGAAGACAAAGGCATCATACAAAGGACTTTACAAAAATTCAGCAAAATTACCACAAAATACAGCAAAAATTAAAGCAAAATTAAAACAAAAATACAAGTCAAGCCATAAAAAGACACAACGAGAAACACCTAGGGAGCGACAGGTGCACACAGGGATCCCCACAGAGAGACCCCCGAGGCGGTGCCTACCTACGACAAGCGCAGGCAGACACCGCCAAAGTGGCGCTGGATGTGGTCAGCGTTCATCTGATGGACCAGCGCCGCAAAGCGACCCTTCCACCGGGGAACAAAGGCCTCATCCAGCCCCGGCTGGTACACACCACGGGCCTCGGCGCAGCGGGCAAGCTGACCAAGCAGATCCACAAAGGAGGAGGCGAACCCACCGGTTGTCGTCATCGCCGCAGGGACGATCAGAGTTTTTCCATGGTTGAAACCGGTGTAGTAGTCGCGCTTCTCCTTTTCGGCTCGGCGAAGGGCAGCGCCCACCTTGATGCAGGCTTGTGAGGTGGTCGGGGGTTGGGCTGTGCGCACAGTCACGTCAATGCCCAGGTCGGGCAGAGCTGGGCCCAGAGCACCGCCGGGAAAGGGGTTGCGGCAGTGCAGGTCGATGCGGCAGCTCTGACCGTTGGCGTTGTAGCCAGACTTTTCCACCCAGACATGGGAGAGGGTGGCGTACCTGAGCAGGCGGCCCATCTCGTCGCGAAGGGCGTTGTGACGCTTGATGGGACG